TTTTTCAAATCTTACTGCATCACATTATATTTCTTCTTAGATGATAGATGATTGAATTAATTCAGCCTAACTTTGTTCAACAAACTTTACAAACTAAACTGTTTTCTTCTCTCTTGTTTTTGAGGTCATTTCTTTCTATTCCGTGCGGTACTGAAACATTTTAATTATAATGAAGGTGATTTGTTTGCAAGAATTGATTAGTTTTTATACTTGACGTGATAATCATCCAATTGCTTTGGTTCTTTTTCAATTCAAATTTCCATAGCTTGTATTGGATCCAGTGTGGAATTAGTCCTTGATCATTGTTATTATGAAAGGTCAGGGAGCTTTTAAATTTTGATAAGAGCAAAAATGATAAAGTTCTTTCCAAGGAACAATACTCAAATTTTAGCTTATCGTTATTCAGCCTTAGAGATTAGAGCTTAGTTTTGGAAAGCAAGTGAATAAATGTGTATGGAATAAAAAAAAGAAGAAAAAATTGAACGTATGTGTAGTGTGAATGATAAATATATGAGCAGATTTTACCTCCATGCCCTTCTCTTTTCATGTCAGAATATGTTTTGTGTTAATGAAAATTGTAAATAAAAATAAATTGGACATTATTATTTGTTGGTATGTTTGGGGTTTTTTGTTGTTTTTTTACCAGTATAACAAAATGTACCCTGCTGTCTTTTTATGCTTACGCTGTGTATTCAGTCAAAAAGGTATTGTAGGATAATAAGACGGCTACAGTGGAAACCATATATAACAGGCCCGGTAATAACAGGGATCCGGTAATAACAGGGTTTTTTTAAATTCCCGTTTTTTTCTACTCTCTGTCTCTATTAAAATTTATCGGCAATAACAGGGCCTCATCGGAGCCCTATCGATTATAATTATAGCAGGGACAAAGGCTCGTTAACTATGTCTAAAAAGTAAGAAAGAGAGAGAGAGTGACACAGTGATGGAGCTAATCCACACTAGCCACGCCACTGTAAGCACATGCAGCGGGTGAAGAGAGAGGTGGCTGCGGTGAACTGCAGACTTCGACCTAAGCCTAGTTACATGCACGCTTAAGGTCTCGTGTTCGAGGGTACTTGTGGCAAGAGAAACTACCCATGAATAAATAGAGCTGGATTAGTCCACAAATTCTTACTTCCCTTGCATTTCTGATTTAACTGGGATCTGATATAACAGGACTTTCTCTCTGGTCGCACCATCCCTGTTATATATAGGTTTCTACTGTAGTCACTTTCTGTCTATTCTGTGTTTTCTTTCTGTTTATTAAGTGCTGTCAGTTGCTTGATCTCACAGGCTGTGGAGCTGCTGCAACTTAAGGTGGCTCAGCCTACAGTGTCACCGAGTTTTCACATTAGAAGGCACCTCAGGCAGCTTTAATGATGGTTTTAAAAGTACTCTTTGACTTCGATGTTTACAGTCATAATGCATACTTTTTTCTGTATTAAGATTTCAAGTAAAGACTGCCCTGGTACATGTATCCTGCCCAGTGTACAATGGCCTACTTTTTTCAGATGAAAGTAGGTTTTTTAGTCTAAGGGAAATCAACTGCATATTTTTTCCTCCCAAGTTGGAAGTTAAGGTTCAAATCCATTTATGGTGAGAATTCCTCTTGTCCTACCACTGTACATTAGTACATTTATATCTACTGGTATTTTGATGTATTGCCTTAGTTGTGCTTTTTAGTTTTAGTAGAGATTTTACGGCGCTCGCAACTGCATAAGGTCATATGAGCGCCAGAAGATTAGAGGTGTTACAAGAGAGTAACAAACATAAAAAAGAGGAAG